GTCCTTTTGAACATTACTCTAGAGTGTGTAATTTTCTGTTCTTGCCAGCCTTTCATAATCTTCTTTATTGATCGATACGGGGTCTATGAGTAAATTTTATTTAATACCAATCGTGCAGCTTAAAGGAGATGGTGATTTCAGTAAGAACCTATACTCAAAGTCCTTGCATGCTCCAAGCCTGAGAAAATTAGACTTGCAGTCAATTTTAGCAGCAGAAGCTCAGAATAGGCTGTCAAAGTACGCTAAAGAACTTCACCAAATTCCAGATTTATATAGATCTACTTCTGGTGTATTTCAGGCTGCCACAAATTTTGCATCCCCTCCAAGAGAAGTTTCACCAGAGGATATTCCTCATTGGAACCACAGGAAGTATGGCTCTCCAGATGGCAGTACTGGCTCAAGCAGAAGTTTACACTTCATTTCCAGCACATTCAATGGCCACAAATCTCCGAGTGTAAGTGCATCTCGGGTAGCTCCTGTTTGGCCCGAGGCTGGAGAAGCAGTCGGTAATGCTTTCCAACTATACGATTCAACAGTTTGAAAAGTTCTTTTTGTACATTAAATATAAGTTACTTGTGTTTACCTCTGTTTGTCACCCATTTGTTGGGAGGGCAGCAAATGTAGAGTTGAGAGAGGAAGTTCGTGATCTTGCAGGTCTTCGGGATGCATGCTTGGAACAGGTAGAAAGTTGCAGATCTTTCTGACACACATGTTTAAACCATCAGCTTTGTTGATAAGGCTGTCTAAAACTGTAAATTAAATGTAATTGTCTTAAATATTTTCCTACGATTCCCCTTTATGATGTTTTCTTATTATAAATAACCATACCAGCTATATTCAGTAATAATAGGGACGTGGATACGTAGTTGTATGCTAAACGTAGGAGATGGGTGGATATGTGAGATGATGTTTGGGACTGGGGCAGTAAAAAGATGATAGCTAAAGCAGTTAGCATTATTAACATAAAGCGAAATCAAATGAAGTGTGTTATGGTTAAAAGCCTGACATGAGCCGAACACCAAAAATGTTGGATAAGAAAAGATACTGAACAAGCGTTTGGAAAAGCTGTCTGAGTGCATCTATGATTAGTGGAGGGCATATATGAATGTGCATGTTGTGGGAGATGCATATGCTAATATCTAACATGAGTATCCTAAATATATATATTAGGAGAGACATTAGCAGTAACTTTCTGTTTCCTTGGTGTTGTGTGTATAGAAATTAACCTGAAGGTGAGGTTGAGTAAGAAACTGACAAGTGTTTTAAGTAGGAGAATTATTTAGTGTCTCCATCTAAATAAGAAAAAAATACTTCTATGTCTAACCCATCATGTTAGCTCAAAATCATAATTAATCAAAATATACATAGTGTAGTTCTGTTTTAGTGAAGCATTGAGCATGGCCACAAGGAGACCACTTCGATGATATAATCTCACTCGATGGCTTCCTTTTTTAATCCAGTTTTCAAATCAAATTTCGCCTGTTTTAGACTAACTGGGTCAGATTTGTTTGCTTCCATCTTTCACCATCTCACGGACTACAAACTATCTGATTTGTTCGCTTGCAAATTGTAAGGCTGAACAAAATTAGGTTTTCGAGCTTTGTACCTTATTTGGTACATCATCTAGTCAGTAAGCATTCATGTTGGCAGTTTTTGTTATCTTGGTTTAAAGTTTGTATCAACTTTTTTTTTTGCCTCTACGTATATGTATGTGTGTGTATATGTGTGCATATATATGAAGCGATTAGTACATGGACTGTCGTAGGACAGGTTGAATCAATTTAATATTTTGTGCTATCGTAAAATGCGTACTTGATATTCATTCTGATTTCTCATACCTTACATTTGACGATATCTGAGAGAAGAACTTGATTCATGATACAGGCAAGTCAAGCATATCTGATTGGTAACAAGGCTCTGGCAAAGGAACTGAGTGAGAAGGGGCAGTTTTATAACATGCAGATGAAAGCAGCTAAACTGAAAGCTGGAAATACAATATACCAAAAGAGGTTGGTTATTTTACAGCCGTAACATGTTATATCTCACGTCCCCACTTCATGTATTGGGTTAAATGCAGATACGCCCCCAATATTATTATAAGATTATAGCCACTTGCACTATTTTATTAGCACTACACCTTCTCTACTCCAGACGACATTATTTCCCAAGTCAGCTTGAGATGTCACATGAGAATCATGTGATGATAGAATTACCTTTTATCCTCAAGTTAACTGAAAGAGAGACTAAGTTGGCCTTGAAATTGAGGGCATCATCTGAGATTAATCTCAACAGGGTGTATGTGCTAATAAAAAAACTTTGGAATTAATCCTAGCATATTTATGCTCTATATGAAAAGACATAGTGTACATTAGCACAGATGCATGCCTGGAAACTGAAACTATGTATGCAAAAAATTATGATGCAAATCATTTATCTGAGATAAGACTTATGCATATGATCTATGTTTGAAGGATGATTTGATTTCTTATGCCCCCCTCCACCCCCACCCCAGAAATGCAGTCCCCTATGGAGCGCAAGGGAATCTGATTGACTTGAATGGCCTTCACTTAAGTGATGCGCTTCAGGTGCTGAAACATGAGATTAACATCTTAAGCAGCACTGCTCGGTCCTGTGGACAGCAGCTCCAGGCCTCAATCTTTTTGGGTACTCCAGTATCAGAAAGGATTGTGTTGGCTTGCGAGCAGTTTCTCCTGGAGGAAGGCCTTCCATTTACCCGGCCTCGACCTGGTCTTCTTCATGTTGTGATATATTGACGCCACTTGTAAGGTAACAGTGTGTAATAAATAAATAAAAAATCAAAATCAAAAGCCACATACACTACAATTTTGTATCCGTGTACATGAAGGGAACATGTGTTAGACAGAGAAGAGGAAGCCAGAGAAATGTAATATTAGCATTAGCAGAATTCTGACTTCCATGTTGTAGGTGTTCTTTTAGTACTACTTTTTTTTTTATCTCTCGGCGCTTTTGTTGTTCAGCGAGGAAACATGATTTGTGCGGTAGCCTGTTTCGTACTGCAAGCATTGATGTTGGAATTGAGCTCTCAACAAAACAAAGCAGTTGTGTTGCGTAATGTTGAGAGCATGCGATTATTTCATCCCACCTCTGTTGCGTTCATGTCAATGTTACTGTGATATCGTATTCAACGCTTTCGCTTTATTTAAGAGCTCCATCTGTATTGAATGTGGAAAGAAAATCTTACGCTAGAACGTCATGCCTCAATCTTTGTATTGAATGTTGGCCATTATCATGTTTTTTTCCAAGTACAGGAAATGGTTGCTATTTGAAGGCTTGGCGGCGGACGTAATATGAAAAGCGATTTGAAGTGTGAGACCAACTCCTCTTGTGCGACTATGGAGCTGTTTGGTTGTATGTTTTTACCATGTAAAAGGATGGAAAGTGTAAAAAAGTGGGTCCCAATGTCAGCTTTCATCACTTTTAATTGCTTGCTTATAGTTATGAAAATAGTGTAAAGTGATTTCATATGCTGATGTGGCTTGTAAAGTGATTTCATAAAAAAAAAAGACATGATTTTAGGAGAAAGCTGACATTGAAGTCAGGAAAAAATAATAAAAAATAATTCTAACCAATATGATCATTTGAGTAGGGACCACTTTTTATACTTTCCAAACAAACAATTAAAGTTATATTTGCAAACCAAACAAGCAATTTATGATTCCAATGGAATAAAAAAACAAACAAAGAAAAGTATAAAAGTAAAATTGATGAGGTGGACAACAACTTTCCAAATTGTGTCATAAATACACAACTTTACCAACAACAACCAAACAGCCCCCATGTGAATCTATAATGAAAGCTGCTCCTCTTGTTTAAACGATTGAAGGCGTGGTACATATTTGAGCTAATCTCGTATCCGAATCCTTGTATTTATTGATGACGTTAGACCTCGACGTTGATGTGTAGAAATAGATAATCCCACGACAAGTTATAACGGCTTCCTGCCCCCGATATAATTACGGGTCTGCCCTCCGGTCTCGTGGCAGTTAACCGTGCCGACGATGATCATCTCGAACTCGAGGACCCGAATCCTCCCGTGTCGCCCGAAACAACTCCTATTTTATCGTGTTATGTTGTCTTAACCTCCGACACGCGACGGGAGCTCAGCTTCGGTGCCCTCGCGCGTCGCCTCCCTCCAACTCGAAGGTACGGTGGGGGGTGACTGGAGCATGAAAATACACATGATATAACTCTACCCAAAAAATATAAGAATCCATATGTGTAGTTGATATAGATTATACCATTAGCCGTCAAAAGGTGCTCTCTGGGCCGTTAAGAGGTTCCAATATGACTCTCAAAATCTTGGTTCAATCTAGACCGTCTAACAAAAAAATAATACAATAAAATTGAAATCTGTTCTCGAAACACACTGGACTAGTAGTCCATTGTGTTTAGTGGCCACTAATTGTCCCCTAAAGAAACCCACGGAACTACTGACCCGTGGGTTTTCCCCGATTTGTTTAAGGGGCGATTAGTGGTCACTAAACACACGGTACTACTAGTTCTGTGTGTTTCAAAAATAGGTTTCGATGAAGCCGGCCTCTTTTTGGTTAGCTTTGGTCAGTTGGCTAAAAAGAGGTCCGTTTTGCTAATTTTTTAGTAAAACGGTCAGTTTTGTTAAATATTTATCAAAACTGACATATTTTAAAATTTTCTCCTTGTTAAAAAATTGGCACAATAGTATCATTGATCATGAAAAACGTAAAATTTTTCACTTGGTTTAATATTTGTTAAATTTAAAATTAAATCAATCAAAATTCTTTTTTTAACTTATCTTAATTCTACTTTAAAGTAGAGTTGAGATGTCTAATGATAAATTTAACAAATATTAATAGTTAGTTACAAAGTTAACATGTTAGTATCACATGAGTACATTCAGATGAAAATTTTAATGTTTGCATGTTCAAAAATAATAACACACTAATTTTTTAACAACTTTTAATATTTCTCTATAATAAAAAAACAACTTGTAGTATGCGAGTCATGGAGCGGAGGAAATTTTAAGTGCAAGACAACCCAAACCCATCATGCTTACCCTCACCGCGAAACACCCGATCCAGATACCAAACCTAAACCCCAATCTCAAAGCAAGCTTGTGATTACTTTCCACTAAACCTTCAAACAAAACCCTAATTAATCAATCTCCCTCGTCCGAAAAAAAAAAGTCCCCATTAATGGACAAAGAAACCTTCGTCAACGCTGTCGACGACGGCCTCAAGCT